TTATTATTAATTTATAACATTACAATAACGAGAATTCCACAAAAGTAAAACAAAAAATTCAATTAATAGAAATTCTAACAAAAGCCACAGCTTAACCAATAGAAGAGTATACTATTGATAACACGTTCTAAACTTAAACAACGTCAATGAGCTTCCGTTCAAAAGCATGATTGATTCAATCTACTCCAAGTCTGAAAGAACATGTAAACAATTATATTTACTCAAACACAATTTCTAATGACGTTTTCTTTTGATAAAAACATGAGTTTACTTGGTTTATCCGTATTTTTTCTTTGGTTGCATAATATATCTTGTGACAGTTTTTTTCCAAGTAGCATTCCAAACGTTTTCTGGATTTATGATACTATGTGTTAGTAATAGGACACAAAACATGTTGCGTAGATCCTTTGCTGATGCTCAATAACATGCTTCTTTAATAACTTCAAGATTTTCTTCATCATAGTCCTTGCAGATAACAGAAGAAGTTATTTCTTTTCCATATCTCTGTTTTAGATTCTCAAAATAGACATTCATAGTTTGTTAGTTTTTTAAGTACACAGGCACATAAGATATTTTTTTCTAAAAAACGTCATTAGATTAAGCTTTGAAGAAAATAAGCAACTTAAAATGTAAACCATAAGAAAATGTAAGATATATATAACAGTGTTGATATGGTTGCACGATAAGTTAGTATCAAATAATATATTCGTATTATTTATTACATAATTTTTATTGCTATATAGGTGTTCTGAATATTTAATGCGTTAACATAAATCATTCTTAATTATTACCAATCAATCTTGTGAATTAAATAAGTAATATAAAATAAGAAGAACAGTTATGAATTAAAAATATCCAATAGAAACCTGCAAAAAATGTCAAATTTGTTAGCAACTGTACAATATTAAAAAAAATTTAATAGATTTCTAAATTTTATTGAGACAAAAATAATATTAAATTTGCATAATACTATTGAAACAAACTGATAAATGATTTGTAGTTAACTACAACCGGTCTTTCGTCTGTGTTATTTATCTGTTAATAGAAAAAACAAACAAATGTAAGAATTTATAAATTTAAATTTTTTTATCGAATAAAAATAGACTTATAAATTAGTATTGACATCCCTTAGGTGTCTCCTTTATATATACTCAACCTTCCTTTTTTCTTATGTTATTAGGGAGATATTTTCATAACAAATGATGTTTAGGAATATAATTTCATAATAAATAATGATACAGTTAAAAGAAAGATATTAAAGTTATATTGTCATTAAATGATTTAAAATTAATATGTTATAAACTTGTGCAATTAAATCATATTCAAAATAATGTAAGTTTTTTAAAACGAATTAACAAATTAGAAACATTAAGGTAAATTGCATTAAAACAATGTAATAAATATGATTTGAAGTTACACAAGTAATATGTGTTCAAAATAAGTTTATAAAGACGATTAACAAATTAGAAACATTAAGGTAAACTGAATTAAAACAATGGAATAAATATAATTTGAAGTTGCACAAGTAATATGTGTTCAAAATAAGGTAGGTCATTAATCAACTAAAAAAATTAAGGTAAATTACATTTAAACTATAGATATTTAAATATTAAATGATATATAATAAGGAAATAATAAATATAAAAAGTAGTTGATATAATTTTTTGATTAATAAATATTATTATATATATTTAATTTTAATTAAAAAGATCATATAATTGCAAACCAAAAAAAATATATCAATTTTAATTAAAAAAGATCATAAAACAAAATCACAATCAGCAAACCAAAGAGTTATATATGTATATATAAGCTTATAATTCTAAACAATAATATAAATCTACTAATAAAAAAAAAGTATTGGCAGCACAAAAAGATGCTATTGAAATGATATAGCTGAGAGATGTTATCAAATAGAGAATTTTTTTTACCAGATTGAGGAACAAAGATGTTATCGAAATGATATATCAAAGAGGTGTACAATCAAATCATATATAGCCTCAGTGGAGAAATCGTCATAATAGGATATCTGCATATAAACCAAAAGAAAAATCAGCTCTCATGAAATATAAAAGCTTAATGTTCTAAAATAAGAAGAAAAAAAAAGTTTAGAACATTATTAACATAAAAAGTTCAGACTACAAAGTTCAATGATTTCATTTCTTCTACTGTGAAAGTCTTATTTATAGTAAATTGATGGACGTTTCTCAATGATTCAGCTTGCATGATAAGCTAAGAAGTAATATATTCTCTAATAAATTCTCAATAAATCTTATACTTTTAAGGTAATATTATTTTTGGAATATCTTGTTGATAAAGCTAAAGGAGAACACTCGTGAATAGATTGCACCAGAATTTTGGTTTAAGTTTTAAAGACATGATTTTAGGAGAGAAAATATCTTATCAATTAATTTTGTTTTAAATCCATGATTTTAATAGTGAAAATATCTTGTCAATTAATTTTGTTTCTCTGACATTTAAAATATTTAATAAGTATTTAATGAATTAAACAGAGAAAGGATCGCGAAAGGATGTTCTTTGAATCGAGAAAACACAAAAGGTAAGTATTTAAATGGATTTCCTTTTTAGTAGTGTCGATGGTAAAAATAAATCAAAACATAAATTCTAAAAAATCAACCAATAGAATCGTTAGAATTCTTCTGAGAAGGCCTCTATGAGTGTCACGTGTCAAAGTGATTTTTAGGGGGATTATAATGGTTTGAAGTAAATTTCAGCTTTTGACCCATAAATAAATTAAAGCCCAATTATCAACGGACTCACGTCAGCTCTCATCGTCTTGTATGTTTAGATGGATCATAGCCATTTTACTTCTTTTTTTTTTTTTTTGCCAAAAGTTATAACCAATCAATCACTAAGGTAATTATTTCACTATGAATTGCTAGTTGTGTTTTTCTTTCTGACAGGTGAAAAATTTGAAGAGGCATGTAAGAATACCATGCTTTTAGATTAATCATTTAAGAATATAGAGTGTGGTCATATACGAATATACGAAACCCTAAAAAGAGATTACTCTGGAGTTAGTCATCAGAGGTCTGCATGATCTTGAGCTTGGCGCAGGCTGAGGTCGATTTCATTTCATATTAGGGTCAATGTTCTACAGGAAAAATAAGTATTAGGATTAATCTTTGTCTATTGAAAAAAAATATTATGTGGTATGTCATACGTGACCTTAACTATTTATACAATTATTTGTACGGCCACTTTCACACTGGCGCATCCCGCAATTCCATATAATTAACGCATAGATCCACTCAGAGGAGTCACTATCCCGCCCGCACGCCTCAACCTAAAATATTGCTACAAGTATCAGACGTACATGGTTCATTTTTGGTCGGCATATGTCCCATCTCCCAACAATACTCATTGACCATGGTTCTATGCTTATCACGTACGTTGTCCATGCTTTTTACTGCTAGTATAACTGATGCGTGCTTTTTACTGCTAGTATAACTGATGCGTGCTTTTTCCCTTTTTGCTAACATAATTGATGTGATGTTAAACACTACTTGACCTTTCTTCGTTACGGTATCATGGCTAATTTCTTAACGTTCAGAGACAAACTTTATACATCAGTTTAAGTGTGTCCTACGTGAATAAAAAAATTAGTAGGATAGGTCCTTCGTTATTACAACCCTTAATAATATTAGCTGCCCAGCCTTATTTCTTCAAATAAATTATAAATGCTTCTTCGTCTCTAGTTTTTTTTTTTATAAAAGATTTACCAATTTTGATCATTCAATTTTATAATATCCTATTCTCACTTTTGAATTTAACTGATTTATTAATTGCTTTAAGTCTTCAGTATATTTTCAGTGATAAACACAAAATGGCCTCATTTAAGAAATCATACAGAGAAAGTGCGGTTACTATTTATAAATAATGAAAACTATTTTAATTAATAATGAAATATAAATTTTAATTAAAAAAAATCCTTGTCTATTGAAAAAAATATTATATGGTATGTGACCTTAACTATTTATACAATTATTTGTACCGTTACTAGGGCTGGGACTTATATCCGCTATCCGCTATCCGATCCGGGATCCGATCCGATCCGCTCTAAAAACGGATATCCGGAGGGTCCGGATCCGAATCCGGATAGTGGAATTTTCAGCCTGGATATCCGGATCCGGATAGTGGAATTTTCAGCCTGGATATCCGGATCCGGATCCGGGCTCACTAAATATTTAAAATATAATTATATTTATATAGGCATATTATATATTTTTTATTAAATATAATTAATACTTAATTTTTTAGTAAATTCTATTATTTTAGTTTAACTTTTTGTAAAATAATATTTTTAATAGAATAAATAAATACTAAATTTTGAATTTTTTTTTTATTTTTAAAAAAAAATAAACCTCGGATCCGGATATCCGCAGGTATACGAGTTTTAGTTCGGATATCTGGACCCCGAATATCCGGATGGCCTGAATTCTGATAGTAATTTTACAGATCCGCCGAATCCGGATCCGGATCTGGATATCATAAAATACCCCGGATATCAGATCCGTCCCACCCCTAACGGCTACTTATGACGCTGGCACATCCCGCAATTCCATCTAAGTAACGCATAGATCCACTCAGAGGAGTCACTATCCCGCCCACACGCCTCGACCTAAAATATTTCTACAAGTATCAGACGTACATGGTTTTTTTTTTGCTCGGCATATGTCCCAACTCCCAACAGTACTCATTGACTATGGTTCTATGCTTATCACGTTGTCCATGCTTTTTACTGCTAGTATAACTGATGCGTGCTTTTTCCCTTTTTGCTAACATAATACATAATTGATGTGATGTTTAACACTACTTGATCTTTCTTCGTTACTGTATCATGGCTTAATTTCTTAACGTTCAGAGACAAACTTTATTCGTCAATTTAAGTGTGACGTCCTACGTGAACAAGAAAAAGAGTAGGATAGGTCCTTCGTCATGACACCCTTAATAATATTAGCTGCCCAGCCTTATTTCTTCAAATAAATTATAAATGCTTCTTCTTCTCTAGCTTTTTTTTTCTTGTAAAGGATTTACCATTTTTGATCATTCAATTATATAATATCCTATTCTCACTTTTGAATTTAACTGATTTATTGCTTTTTCAATATATTTCTAGTGATAAACACAAAATGCCCTCATTTAAGAAATACATACAGAGAAAGTGCGGTGAATATAAAGATTAATTTTATTAGGATAGATGATTAGGCTGGTTTACATTGGTTAACTAGAGTTGGTTACTGAGATAAACCGGTTATGTATTTTCGGTTATGTATATATAAGCAACACTTGCTTATTTTGTAAAGTTACCATTAATGTGAATAAGAAACTTTCTTCCGTTATTCATCTTCTCCCAAACTCAATTTCATCAAATCAATACAAGCTTGAATCATTGTTAATATGGTATCAGAGCACTAAATCTGAGCTTCCGCTTTATCCTATTCTCACGATGAGTGCTTCGATGATGCAGATCTCGCGATTCATGATCTTGTTGTTCATCGCCATTAACGAGCTTGTTCAAGGTGTATTGAGCTGTTTCTTCTTCCTTTTTCTTTACGTTTCTCTTTGATTGACCTTTGCGAGGCGATTTCTTTTTCTTTCGATCGTTTCGTGTTGTTTTCTGGATTCTTGATTACTCGATGGGGGATTCCGATTCTGGTTCTCGTGAGGAGATGGAGCCTGTTCGTGATTCTTCTCGATCTCGTGTGAATCAATATGATAATCCATATTTTCTTCACAACAGTGATCATCCGAGTCTTCTTTTGGTATCAGATCGATTAACCATGGCTTCGGAATTTCATTCTTGGAGGAGATCTATTCGTATGGCGTTGAATGTTCGCAACAAGCTGGGATTCATCGATGGTACCATTCCTCGTCCTTCTCTTACTCATAGGGATTATGGAGTGTGGTCTAGATGCAATGATATTGTTGCGACTTGGTTGATTAACTCTGTGTCCAAGAAGATTGGTCAAAGTCTGTTGTTCATCTCTACTGCTGAGGGTATATGGAATAATCTTTGCTCTAGGTTTAAGCAAGATGATGCACCTAGGGTTTATGATATTGAACAACGGCTTAGTAAGATAGAACAAGGATCTATGGATGTCTCTACTTACTATACAGAGTTAGTGACGTTGTGGGAAGAACATAAGAACTATGTGGAGCTTCCTATATGTACTTGTGGTCGATGTGAGTGTGATGCAGCTAATCTTTGGGAGAAATTACAGCAGAGGAGTCGTGTTACCAAGTTTCTCATGGGTTTGAATGAGTCCTATGAATAGTCACGACGTCATATCTTGATGTTGAAACCGATTCCAACTATTGAGGAGGCCTTCAACATTGTGACTCAAGATGAGAGACAGCGTGCTATTAAGCCTTCTACTAAGGTTGATAGTGTGGCTTTCCAGACATTGACGCCTACTCCAACTAGTGATGCTCCTTCTCTGTCTACTATTGAGAGTAATGCGTATATTGCTGCTTACAATACCTTACGTCAGAATCAAAGACCGGTCTGTACTCATTGTGGGAAGAGTGGACACACAGTTCAGAGGTGTTATAAGTTGATTGGCTTTCCTCCGGGGTATAAGAGCAATGGTGCTGGTTATAAGAATCAGCAGAATCAGAAAAATCAGCAACATCAGCAACAGGTACAGAGTCAGCAAAATCTGCAACAGACTCGTCCTGCACAACATATGCAACTTACTTATCCTACTGCTTCTCAACAAGCAAATGCTATTGCAAATGTGCATTCTGATGTTGCTGCCTCTCAAGTTCTGTATGCTCAACCCGGATCTTCTTCTCATGTTACGAGTGGTGGTGTGCGTGCTGCACTTCAAGAGTTTACTCCACAGCAGATACAACATTTGATTTCCCAATTCAATTCTCAGGTTCGAGTTCCAGAGCCTCACATTGCTTCAACACGGGCTACAATCATAGATTATGGTGCTATGGCTTCCACTTCTTCTACTGGTACTCTTCCTTTTCCTTCTACAACCCTTAAATACGAACATCATATTCTCACCTTTCAAGACCATTGTCTTTCTACTATCCATTCTTTTCTTCCACATGATGCTTGGATTATAGATAGTGGGGCTTCTAGTCATGTTTGTTCAGATATATCAATGTTTACAGAGCTTACACCAGTTCATGATGTCATGGTCACTTTACCTGATGGTACTAGAGTTCCTATCATGCATACTGGTATCATACGCTTGTCTGATTCATTGATTTTATATGATGTTTTGCATGTTCCAGCATTTCATTTTAACTTGATCAGTGTGAGTGTTCTTTTGAGAACTTTGTTTTGTTCTGCCTATTTTTTCTCAAATATTTGCATGTTACAGGAACTTACACGGGGCTTGATGATTGGGAGGGATAATATCTTTCGCAATCTATACATACTGGAGAAGCCATCCCTCTCAACATCATCTCTTTCTAAGGTTTTCTGTGGCTCTCTAATATCTGATGAGAACTTGTGGCATCTACGCTTAGGACATCCATCTTAATTCTGCTGTGTTACAAAGAGTCTTTCCATCTGCGTTGAAGTCTTCTTCTCAGTCTTTCGAGTCACATTGTCCAGTTTGTCCATTAGCTAAACAAAAAAGGTTAGCTTATGTCTCTCAAAATAAATTGTCTGCTAAACCATTTGATTTAGTACACATAGATGTTTGGGGTCCTTTTAGTACTGAGTCTGTTGAAGGTTTTCGATACTTCTTTACTTTAGTTGATGATTGTACTCGGATGACTTGGGTTTATATGTTGAAAAATAAAAGTGATGTTTCAGTTTCTTTTCCTGCTTTTCTCAAGCTTGTTCATACTCAATATAATGCTACTGTTAAGGCCATTCGTTCTGATAATGCTCCAGAATTAGCATTTACTGACTTGATTAAAGAACAAGGGATGATACACTATTTTTCATGTGCTTACACACCTCAACAAAATTCAGTAGTGGAAAGAAAACATCAACATTTGCTTAATGTGGCTCGTGCTTTACTCTTTCAATCTAATGTACCTTTGCAGTATTGGAGTGATTGTGTTCTCACATCTGTGTTTTTGATAAACCGGTTACCTTCTCCATTACTTGGTTTTAAATCTCCTTTTGAACTATTATTTGGTAAGGCACCAGACTATACAATGCTTAAAACTTTTGGTTCCTTATGTTATGTGTCTACTTTGTTGAAAGATAGGAATAAGTTCTCTCCTAGGGCGAAACCATGTGTTTTCTTAGGATATCTTGTAGGGTACAAAGGTTTTAAGGTTTTGGATTTGGATCTAGATCAACAGCAATTTCTAGGAATGTCATTTTTCATGAACAAGATTTTCCGTTTAAAACTGATGAGTTTATTTCTAAAGCTGCTGATATATTTCCGAATACCATTTTGCCTTTACCTGCACCATTACATTTTGTTGAAACATATCCGTTGTCTAATCCTTTGCATTCTGGTTGCACACATCCATTACCTGTTTTGGAGACACCTGATACTACTGAGTCTTTGCTTTCTGATCATACATTAGATAATACTCATGCATCTTCGTCTCATAATGCATCCTCTACTGGTGTTAGCTCTGTTCCTATTGATAGACCTAGACGACAGATAAAGCCTCCTAGCTATTTGTCTGAGTATCATTGTGCTTTATTACCATTTTCTTCTTTTTCCTCTACGTCTATTCCTTCTGAACAGAAAACACCATACCCTCTTTCTTCTGTTTTGACCTATGATAACCTCACACCCATTTTTCAGTCCTCTGTTCTTGCTTATACTCTTGAAACTGAGCCTAAAACCTTTAAACAAGCTATGGCATCTGAGATGTGGTGTGGCTCTGTGAATGCGGAATTTGAGGCTCTTGAGCAAAACATGACTTGGGATATTGAGAGTCTTCCTCCTGGAAATAATGTTGTTGGTTGTAAGTGGATTCATACCCTTAAATATAATGCGGATGGTACGATAGAAAGGCCTAAATCTCGTTTGGTTGCTCAAGGATATACGCAACAGGAAGGTCTTGACTACATTGACACCTTTTCTCCTGTAGCTAAACTAACGACAGTGAAGCTTTTGTTGGCCTTATCTGCAGCTAAGGGATGGTCTCTTAACTAAATGGATGTGTCTAATGCATTTTTACATGGTGATCTTGAAGAAGAGATTTATATGAGCTTACCTCAAGGATACACACCTCCTCCTGGTACTACATTACCTCCTAATGCAGTGTGTAGACTTCGTAAGTCTCTCTATGGGTTGAAACAAGCCTCTCGTCAGTGGTACAAGCGTTTTTCCTCGGTGTTACTTGGCGCTAACTATGTTCAATCTCCTGCTGACAACACTCTTTTCATCAAAGCCACTACGAGTTCTTTTGTTGCTGTTCTGGTTTACGTAGATGACATCTTGATTGCTAGCAACAACAAGGATGCTTTGACTGCTTTACAGGATCTTCTTAAGTCTGAATTTAAGATCAAGGATCTTGGTGTTGCTCGTTTCTTCCTTGGCTTGGAGATTTCTCGATCATCCTCAGGGATCTCTGTGTGTCAACGGAAGTATACGCTTAATCTTCTTGAAGATTCTGGTTTATTGGGTTGCAAGCCTAGCTCTGTTCCTATGGATCCTACGTTGCATTTGTCTAAGGATCAAGGGAAACTGTTGTTGAATGCTACTACGTATAGGGAGCTTATTGGTCGCTTGTTATATCTCACCATAACACGGCCTGATATAACTTTTGCAGTCCATCAACTGAGCCAGTTTCTCTCTTCTCCTACGGATATTCATTTGCAGGCAGCACACAAGGTTCTTCGCTACTTGAAGACTAATCCTGCTCTTGGTTTATTCTATCCTGCCAATGTTGATGTGTGTCTTAATGCATTTGCTGATGCTGATTGGGCTACGTGCAAAGATACTAGACGCTCTGTTACTGGCTTTTGTGTTTTCTTAGGGACTTCGTTGATTTCGTGGAAGTCTAAGAAGCAGTCTGTTGTGAGTAGAAGCAGTACAGAGGCTGAATACAGGAGTATGGCTTTAGCAACTTGTGAGTTGATTTGGTTGCAGCAATTGTTACGTGATCTTCATGTTCCTGTCACTGGCATTGCTAAGCTCTTCTGCGACAACAAATCGGCGATCCACATTGCTATGAATCCTGTGTTCCATGAACGCACTAAACACATTGACATTGATTGTCATACGGTTCGTGATCAATTCAAGGCTGGAAAGTTACAAACACTTCATGTTTCTACGGTGAACCAGCTTGCTGACATTCTCACCAAGGCTCTTCATCCTGGTCCTTTTCACTCGCTCTTGCAGAGGTTTTCCATGTCAAGTCTTTATCTTCCATCAACACCAGAAGCTAAAGACTTGAGGGGGGCGTATTAGGATAGATGATTAGGCTGGTTTACATTGGTTAACCAGAGTTGGTTACTGAGATAAACCGGTTATGTATTTTCGGTTATGTATATATAAGCAACACTTGCTTATTTTGTAAAGTTACCATTAATGTGAATAAGAAACTTTCTTCCGTTATTCATCTTCTCCCAAACTCAATTTCATCAAATCAATACAAGCTTGAATCATTGTTAATAAATTTGGACAATAAGAGTTGAAAAGAAAATAAAAGAATAGAAGAAGCTAAAGTAACTAACTAGTTGTGGAGGCGATCAGGGGAACTAGGGATCTTTCTATCGGAATCTTCAAAGCGAGTGTTGCTGTTGTTATTTAGGCCAAAAGATGATCCCTTGAAATACCTTTGGAAGAGTCGTTGAACATCATCCTCGTCTTTCTTGTTATTTGAGACAAGGGTGTTTCCACCTTTTGCGAGTATGTTATCTTCCGACAGTTCCCGGACTTGTCCTTCCCTGAAAGGCCAGATCTGAAACAAAAAGATGAGCAAGAGAGCGATGGAGAATGTCAAAAGAACATCTCGACAACCCATACAGAGAAAAGAAGAAGAATTAGAATGTTTCGATGAGGAAAAACGAATGTGAGAGATTTGGTTTGTGATATGACAAGAAGGTCAGATAGTGTTATATTCAGAAAACTCCATCTCTCTCTCCCTTTCAGTGTGTGTTTAATGAGGTGAAGAGTTGGAGCAGATGGAGGGAAGATGAAGATGACGGACGTGCTATGTCGTTGGCTCATTTGTAATAAGAGTGAGTCTCGGTCTCTGTCCTTATCTATGTCGCTGTTTTGTTCTTATATATTAAAGTGAAAGTGTAGCTGTTATATTTAACGAAATACCTATATACAGTATGTGTAATTACAAGACGGGTTATATAATGAGCCAACCTGTTTTAGGTATGCAGTACGTATACATCTAATTTTTTTTTCTCAATTATGTGTTTAGATTTACTAAATTTGGGTAGTACTGTCACATGCATGCTCCTTTGATATATTCTCTGTTTATTCCTCGTTAGCTAAGAGTATGATCCAAATGTTACAATGTATGATTTGTTGATAAGATAATGGAGTGGTCCAACAACAAATGTATGCAATGAAAAGATCATAATCATGAGTTGCATTCCCGAGATGGGTGGAAACTTTGTAGCGTTGTGAATTAAATGGATGAAATTTTGTTAGGCAGAAATATTGATTTTTCTAGCTACCCGACAGAGATGTAAAGAGAAAAATGTACACAGCGTGTCGGTGTGGGCAAAACTAAAGACGAGATTGGTCGAGGCGCGCGAAGGAGCAATGTTGATTATAATCACCAGAAACATATCTATCATGTAGTTAATTATCTACCTCGTGTAAACCAAAAGCTGTCTTATCTATGTGATCGTGTTATCGAAGAGGTTGAAATATATAACAGTATAGTATGTGGTGGTAAACTTCGTTAAATCTCAGTCAAACAAATGTTTAGCGTATATTTCTTACAAACAGGATATGTCTGCTCAAGGAGTCAAATGGTCACATGGGTATGTCTGATAGAATTATTAACTAAAAAACGAGAAATGTAAAATGCATTTATCAAAGAAACCTTTTTCAAAAAAAATAATAATAATCATATTCAAAATGTCTACCACCGTATTAGACACAAAGTATCCCATATCAGTTGTTGGAAAAGATCCTTAATAATATATAAGATAGATGTGCCACTATACTTATCACCAATTGGTTTTAGGTAAAAGCTCATTGATGTAGCGGAAGCTTCTAGGGATAGAAATAGTGATCCGTTGATTCTGAGAATACCAGAAAACTATGATAATACAAGGATCTTATTTAGTCTAAGAATACCTAAGATCAATGTCTTCTTAAATTCGTTGAATCATCAATGATTTACCGAAAACAAAGAACAAAAGAGAAATCTCTATTTTATTAATCAAATCATAAACTGAATACAAACTTAAACCTAAACGGCTATTTATATAAGAAAACCATAAAAACCCTAAAAACCCTAAAACATTAAAAGTAATTATCCTATTGAATAATAAATTAGATAATAATATTAAGAATATTTTCCAAATATTCTCTCTGCATTATTCTCCCCAAGTTGAAGAAATTCGTCCATGAATCTTAACCTAGTCTTTGTTTAATTGTTTTTTCCTTCTCTTCTATTGATGAAACTTAGCATCCTTGATCTTCAAGTAAACAAACAAAAAGAAAATACAGAACAAATTATTTTTGGCCATGTATTTAATCATCGTTGCTGAACCTTCTGTCTTCACCAACAAGTCACCAACAAGACAAGTAACCTCTTGAGTCTTTGCTTTGTTGCCATACACCATCACGTGATGTGATTGTATTAGAGCACAATATGCCATACGTATCACAAGCACACTAGCTTTTATGGGATTGGTTGAGCTGGATTGCTGGACGTCATGATGCACGGTGATGTCTTGCGATACGATGAAGTGTTCTAATCATTATCATAAGTATCGTAAACTGGATCTTTAGTAATCTCAATATATACGGTTTCTTCACTCTCCACGAACAAATTCTCCATGATTCTAGAATCGAGTTTTGATTAAGAAACCAAAATGATAGCTCTGATACCAACTGAGGTCGTGGAAACTTCTAGGTATAATAAAAATAGTGATCCGTTGATTCTGATAATACCGGAAAACTATGATAATACAAGGATCTTATTTAGTTTAAGAATACCTAAGATCAATATCTTCTTAAATTCGTTGAATCACCAATGATCTACCGAAAACAATGAACAAAAGAGAAATCTCTATTTTATTAATCAAATCATAATCTGAATACAAACTTAAACGGCTATATATAAGAAAACCATAAAAACCCTAAAACATTAAAAGTAATTATCCTATTAAATAATAAATTAGATAATAATATTAAGAATATTTTCCAAATATTCTCTCTGCATCACTCATCTAGCTTAATATGGTATCAGAGCCCACGATCCACAAAGTCCAACCTAATCTTCATCGATCTGGTCCAAAGATGGCTCATCGATCTTTGCATAACATTTTGAGATTGACACTCAAAGAGCTATCATTGGTGATAAGCGGATTAGTCCATCTATATTATATATTGCTAGAGATCTCTTCCAACAATTAATGTAGGACCTTTGTCCCTAATACATCTCCTCGAAATGATGGATCTTTGAACGTCAATCTCAAAATTTTGGGGAAGGATCGATGGGCCAATTTTAGGCACAGATCGATAATGGATCGGGGGTTTATGTTACATGGATTGTGGGCTCTGATATCATGTTAAGCTAGATGATTTGCTAACCTAAAATTAATTATGATAAGTGGATTAGTTCATGTATTTTATATATTGATAGAGATCTTTTTCAATAATCAATATAAATTTTTTTTCCTAATACACTGATGTCGTTTTTAATTTATATTTACTAATTAGTAAATATAATTATTGCTAATCTATATTATAATGATACACTTTCAAGGCTCATAAGCCTATCCACCTCAGCAAGTTTGCGGGCCCCGCGCATATTATTAGGGAAAACAAAAACGTATAACATTTTGTAAGACTGAATGTTATTGATGAGTGATGAAATGAACCAGTGGTGTAAATTGGTGACAAGAAGTTGGTACCGCGAGTGTGCGGGTTCGAATCGCAGTGTTTGCATGTAATTTTTTTTTAAAAATTTAGGCTTTTCGGGATACCTAAAAGCTTAGGGAGATTCATAATGATTTTTATGTTGGTTGTTGGGATACAAAATGGCTTAAGGATTTAAAACTAGATACTTTTATAAGAAAGGTTATCATGTTCTAACCTCCAATATCATTTCAATTCAGTTATAATCGTCAAATAAAATAAAAACATATTTTTTCAATAATAAATATTTACCACGAACCATTCAGATCGGCCATAAATCTCATATACATCACAATTAAAACATATATATATATATATATATATATATACGACATAATTTCAGAAAGAAAATTACACTGATAAACACATGTCCTTTTTTGTCTTGTCTCCATTAAATTAGTTTTTTATATGAAAGCACTAATAACAATAATGCTCGATAAAATCACTAATAAAGGGAATGCTCGATGAAATCACTACTAAGATAAAATATGAAAATATCAACCCATATGAATTCAATGTTTATTCTTTTATCAAACTAATCAAGTTGTGTGACTTCTAATATTTCATTCATCACCATTAGAGATAAGCCAGATAAACAAATGTTTAAAAAAAAAACAGCAAAGTCTCATACACAAAACTACACAACACATCAACAACGTATCCAACCCCGCGCTTGCGCAGAGACTATGCATCTAGTAACCCAAATAGTTGTGGTTGCCGGTCCTTGGGGCAGTGTGTAGCATTTTTTCCTGTTCTTTTTTTTTGCAACTGTAAGAATTAATTGAAAAAGTGAAACATATTTCTAAAGCCATATTTTGTTCATACAGTTTGACTATTAAGATGTAGTTAAAACTGATACATCTAATTTTTATTTTTAAATTGTAGCATGATTTAATGTCAAATAAAGATAAAATTAAGATAAAATCATGTTTCAAAACCCTACAAATCATCTCTAGTATTACCAAAAATTGATATATATATATATACATTTTTTCCATAAAATAATTAAAACTCATAAGGTATATGGTCAGTTTTACATATTAAGAATAATAATAGAGAAAATGACTAAAATAACACTATTTTTTTCTGTCACAAATATAACACTTAAGAATAAAAATGACCAAAATAGCACTTAATGTTTTATCAAAAGAGATAAATATACACCTATATCCAAATGATAAATTAATTTAGACATTAGGGTTTAGGGTTAAAGGGTGGGATTTAGGGTTTAGGGTTTAGGGTTTAGAAGTTAGGTTTTAGGGTTTAGAAGGGGAGTGGGGTTTTGGGGATAAGATTTCAATTTTTGAATAATATTTTTTTTAAAAAAATTTTCAAAAGATAAAATGTTATTTTAGTCATTTTAGTTTTTGAAAGCTATTTATGTGATATAAACTTAGAAATATGTTATTTTGGAGATTTGCCCATATTAAAATATGTTTATTTTAATACAAAGATATCATATTATTACAAAGATAACTTTGTCCCGAAATGAACACAATCAATCCTTTTCATCCCCCATTGCAAGAACATATCTTTTAGTTGAGCCCGGCTGCAGAAGTTTGTGAGAGGACCAATACTGTCTTAAGTAAAGGCATTGTTGGCTTGGTGATATGGACTTCTGTTTTTTGAAACACAAACATTCATTAACTCAAATTAGTTAGGCAGTTGCCATTACATTCTCCACACCTAACAAAACACTTTTTGCTAGTTGGTCTGCAATAAAGTTTCTCTCACGTGAGATCCATTCAAAAGATATTAGGTCGAAACAATCAACCATGAAGATAATGTCTGCAACTACACCATAGATTTCGATAAGTGAGTTTCCTTGGTTGATGGCCTTGATGAGTTGAGCAGAGTCAGATTGACATCTGATTTCTTTGATTCCTTTTAGTCTGCAGAAACGGAGAGCCTCCCTTAGAGCTAAGCTTTCTGCTACTAGAGCAGAACCCGAGAATGGGGCTAGTGAAGTTGACGAGAGGGAGATGGAAGGCGTTGAAAGGTTCCATACGAGGCCTGCCATTCCTGAACTCACACACCAAGCTGCATCTGTCTGAAGAATCGATTTTATCCTGCTTTCCAATCTCAAAGGAGGTCGGATCGAAGGGATCAATGGAGTTTTGGTTTGGCTAGTTTACCATTCTCGAGCAGCTGCCATAGCTTTTGACAAGGTATCCGCAGGGGAGCTCTGTTTCTGGTTGAAGACCAGGTTGTTCCTTGATACCCAAATTTTCCATAAGATCCAAGGAGCCAACGATCCGTGACCGATTCCCGTAGGAGGGAGGCTTGTCTTTGAACATAGACTCAGCCAAACGTCCCTCAAATCTATAAATCCACTCATCTCAACTGCTTCCACAAAAGGTACTGACCGCTAAATTTCCTGGGCAAAAGGGCAGTGAAGGAAGAGATGATTTATAAATTCGAGGTCACTGTTGCATCGTTTGCATATAGGGTCTGCTGTGATGTGCCTAACAACGAGATTCTCTCCAACCGGTAGAGCGCGTCTGAAAACTTTCCACATGAAAGTCTTAATCTTAGGGGCTACTGCAAGATTTCATATGGATTTCTTCCAGTCCATACGAAACTCTGGTGGGACTTCATCAGCGCCTTCCTCCCTCAACTCCATTGCAGCACAATAACCAGATTTTGTAGAGTAGCATCCAGAGGGTGAACCCACCCATGCTAGCTTATCTGGAGCACCTGAGAGGCTTGGTTTGATCCTCAATATGGTTTCCTCTTCGTGGGGTATAATGTTCCTGATTTTCTCTCTATCCCATTCTCTAGAATTTTCCTCTAGCAGATCAGAGACCTTGCAGTTTATGGTTAGTTCTGAGGCTGGTCCCATCGGTTGCTGTGGGGATGTTAAGCTGAGCCAAGGATCCGACCATAAGCTGATGGACTCACCATTTCCGACAATCCAGCCCAGCTTAGTTTTTAGAAGATCTCTCCCAATTAAGATTCCTCTCCAGCAGTGCGAAGCTGAAGATTTAACTGTGACCTGGAAGAGCGATTCATCAACACAATATTTTCCTTTCAAAACCCGACTTAAGAGGCAATCAGAATAATGTAGCAATCTCCAGCTGAGCTTTGCTAAGAACGCATCGTTAAAGCTTTGGAAGTCTCGGAAACCCAGACCTCCAAGTGGTTTTGGTTTCGTCATCTTTGACCAGGATACCCAAGACATATTTCTGGAGCCTTCTTTCTTATCCCACCAGAACCGGGTAACCGCCGATTGTATGCGTTTGCATAAAGACTTGGGAAGTTTGAAACACGTCATGGCATAGGAAGGGATGGCTGACAGGACACTTTTGAGCATAACCATCTTGCCGGCTGTTGATAAGAATCTATTAGACCATCCTCGGGCCTTTTGTTTGATACGGTCAACGATAGATGAGAATAAGTCTTTCTTTTTGTGTCCAAAATGCTCCGGGATACCCAGATGTTTTCCAACGCCTCCCTCTTTCTCTATCTTAAGACTGTTTTTTATGGCTGGTTTAAGGTTTGCAGGCGCTTTTCGGGAAATGGAGATGGCTAGATTTTGCTGTATTTATAGATTGCCCCGAAGCATCCCCATAGCGTTTGATGATGTTATTTAACGCCTCACCGCTCTCCTTGTTAGCCTTCAAGAAGAACATGGCATCGTCCGCGAATAAAAGATGATTAACCCAAGGACTCTCTTGGACTACGCGGATTCCAGCCATAGTGCCATTCTCATGTGCTCTGTTACAAAGGCCAGATAAACTTCACTACACATTATGAAGAGGTATGGTGAGAGAGGGTCTCCTTGACGGATTCCTCTAGTCGGCTTAACTCTTGCTCTAGGCAAGCCGTTGATGAGAAAGGAGTATGTAACAGATGAGACGCACTGCATAATCAAAGAGATCCACCGAGGGTGAAACCCTAATCTTTGCATTACAAGCTGGATGAATTCCCACTCTAAGCGATCATATGCCTTGCTCATGTCAGTCTTGACAGCCATGGAGCAACGTTTTTACGCATTGGAAGATTTTAAAAAGTGAAGTACTTCGTGGGTAATGAGAACGTTATCAGATATCGCGCGCCCTTGGACAAACGGCGATTGGTTGTCAGAAATGATTGTTCCGAGCAGGGGTTGAAGCCGTTTAGTCAAGATCTTCGAGATAATCTTGTAATAAACATTGCATAATGCTATCCGTCGATAATCACTAACTGCTCGGGGGTTGTGGATTTTGGGGATGAGTCTAATGTGAGTATGATTGATCTTCTCAGGCAGGGCCCCAGTCTCAAAAAATTGTGAGATTTCCACAACAATATCTGCCCCAATCGATTCCCAATTCGAGTGGAAGAAACCAGCCGAAAAACCATCCGGTCCCGGTGCTTTATCTGCATGAATAGAGAATAGAGCCTCCTTGATCTCCTGCGGCGTCGGGGGGCAGATAAGCTTAGCATTCTCTTCATCAGAAATTCGATTGGAGAGTGCCTCGTTAACCGTACTCTCTCTCTCCCCAGCTTCAGCCGTAAATAATTTTTTAAAGTACTGCACAACAACCTTGCTGATTTCATCTTCCTTATAAACCGGAGTACCCTCTGTGTCTTCAATAACAGAGAAGGAATTTGCTCTTTTACGATTCTTTGACACCGCATGGAAGAAGCCGGTATTGTGGTCTCCCAATTGGAGCCACATGAGCCGACTCCTTTGTTTCCAGAAGGATTCTTCTTCCTCATATGCCTTGTTCAGCTCTTGGGTGATGGATGCTATAAGGATGATATCGTTTGTAGGACTAGATTGGGCCGCCTCCAGTTCCATCTTTTTATGTGCTATGATCTCTTTGCTGTTTCTCTGTTGGCATTTACTCCATTCTGAAATGGCTTTTCTCACTGCTGTTAACGCTCACTGATAGGTGAATTAGCATCCCTTTGCCAGGTTTCTTTGATGAGTTTCTTAACTTCCTCATTATCATTCAATCTTCTGTCATAGCGGAAAAGACCACGGGTCCTCCTTTTCCCTTCCTCAAAAGCAGAGAGGAGGGGTTTATGATCAGAACCTTCGTAAGCAAGATACAAACAGCTCGCTGTTGGGAAGAGGTTAGACCATGCTGAATTAGCAACAGCTCTATCCAGCCTACTTCGGATAAAATGGATTCCTCTCTGGCCCCTCCAAGAAAGTGGATCGCCAGCATGTTGTGGATCATAGAGATCTCCTTCTGAAAAGAAAGTTCGCAGATCCGAAAACGATCCTTCCGATCTTGCAGGTCCACCTTCCTTCTCTGAATTATGAATCAAGTCATTAAAATCCCCCGTAACAAACCAGGGGGAATCGCGGGCTGCTGAAACACTAAGCAAGTGATTCCATAAACCAGAACGACTCTTTCGATCTGTATGCATAGAAAATTTTCCCTTGGAAGGTAATACAAGTATCCACATAATTTGAAGCTGAGCTTAGTACTTATACATTGATATTTTCCTTCCAGAGTAAAGCTAGTCCACCTGCGCCATGACCAGTAAGTGTTACCAGAAAGTGTTGATCGTATCCAAGTTGGTTCGTTTTCTCAAGTACGAAGTTATCAGGGTTTTTGGTCTCAATAAGGAAAATGATATCTGGCCGCATAGATTTATCGATTTCTCGGAGACGACGAATTGTCGAGGGATTCCCTAAACCTTGACAGTTCCAGCTCAAAACTTTTAAGGAACCGAAGGAGATGGATTTTGAAAATCCATCTACCTCTTTGATGATCCAGGGACCATGTTGCAAAGGGGTTGGTCGTCCGAATTTTGACTCCTGTTAGATTGTCCCGAAGTAGTCCGAGAAGGATTCCGAGTGCCCTTTGATCCTCTAGCAGTACCAGCCTTTGATGATCTAGGATTTGGGACTAGGGGTAGAACCTGAGGTTTTGAGATTAGCTTGCGTCTCCTCGTGGGCTGTTTTGGTTGTTAAACTTTCCTCATTTTTGAGCTTGAACCAACCACCGTTTTTGGGCTACCTTGAATGTTTTTTCTTCCTGGTGGTCTTCTCGGTTTGCGCTTGGTGGTTGGCTTTGAGGTTCCTTCAATTGCTAATGGGGAGTTTAGAGCAGTTTCAGGTAAGCTGAGTCTCAGAGCAATTGGGATTCTGGGAGACAGAGAATTACTATCGACAATTTGCACACCTCCGTCCTGAGATAAAATCTCTGGAGATGGACCAAGTCTTTGTGATGAAGGGATTCTAGGAAGAGGGGACTCAGTTTCATCGATTTTTTGGGCATTGAGATCCATATTTGCTGAGATAGCAGCTTGTACTATTAGGGCTGCAGCTTCTTCAAATTCGCCTTGGTCCTCAGCTTGTCTCATTCTCTCTTTTCTAGCCGCATTTTCTGTTGGGTCAGCAACATTAGTGTATTTCAACATTGCATCCCTAACATCCGAGAGGGCTTCCTCCATCGCCGCACGTTCCATCCCATCTGTCACATTTCGAAGGGGAACCCCCCTTGCCAATGGACTCTGTCTTTGATGGGAGGAAGTGATCTCTTCTCCTCCCTGTTCACGGGACTTCTCTCTATCAAAAGGATGATCTCCCTTGCTGATATTAGAGGTGGAGTTATCCGGGCGGTTTGATCTCGCCGACTGATTGGTAACAGCTCGATAGGTCATATGTTGAGGTTTAGCTCTCCAGTTCTCGTGGGGGCGGTGGCGAGGGTTATCATGATAGTCTCTAGCTCTAGACTCATACTTACTCTGTTCCCTGCGGTTAGAGTAGGAATCCCTTGACGAGGCACGGTGGCCAGCTGGATTTGAGTAGTCTCTTCTATTTTGTTCAGAGTTGGTGCGATCATATCGCGGCTGTTGAGTCTGCTGGGAATCCCCATGGTAATCTATTGAACGAACTGCAGAGAAGCGGAAAGGTTCATTTTTTGAGTCCCGGTTTGAGGTTCTTGCTGCTTCAGGTACGACATTTCCACTAAGAGCCTCTTGAGCAGCTTTGTTCGCTTTCTTCTGAGCTCTTGCTTCCAGACAGTCTTTTAGGTCGTGGTCCAGGCGAAAACACATGGAGCAATGCTTTTCAAGTCGCTCATAGGTTAGTGTTACAGGAATCTCTTCTCCTTCTGGGTAGACTAAGACAGTTTGCTTAATGAGGGGGAGCAAGCCGTTGATTTGCACTCGCAAACACATAGTAAGAGGGGTTATTTCGACCTTTTCAAACAGCCCTATGTCTTCCCCAATGCTTTTTACAGTAGCTTATGTCCATAGATGTAACGGGATACCTTGAACTTTAATCCAAAAAGGTATGAGAGAAGGGAAAGATCTTGATAATGTAGGCTCCCACCGTTGTAAGATTATCATCCACTTAGCATAGTGATATGGTCGGTTTTCAAGAACAGAGATGAGGTCTGATTCCAGTTCAAACTGGAACTGAAACAGCCCATTTTCGAGATCTGCACCCACTGGTTTTATACCAGTCTTCTAGTGATCCGTGAAGAACGGTATCAGCGCCCAGTTCTTTTGGACAGAAGGGTTAGTGACCCGCCGAATAAGGGTTAGCGAGTGTCTGCGAATGAGATCAGAGTTATCGAAAGGGTTTACTTGAACTCTTCCCGTACGAGGAGCTTGGAAGTCACTTGTAGCTAAACCTTTTCCTTTTTCTTCCATTGAAATTCTCCTGTGCGCCATAGTTGGGTGCTCAGCAAACTGTGAAACGTTACGCAGAGGAGATAAAGTTCGAAGGAAGTTCAAACAGCTCTTAGTAGATAGAGAAGGCTGGTCTGCAGATTAATGAAGGACCAGAAGGAAAACTGAACGATCTAGCTCATCGTCAGATTGATTGATGGCGAAGCAGCAGTGGCGCAGCGGTCCCTCCAACCCGGGTCGGGGGAAGAACCCGGAGGGTAAAAGGGCAGAGCTGTCTAGAGACCGAAGGATACTCCCAAAAGGGGAATAATTTGAAAGAACAGGTTCTAGATCTGCTGGATAAAAGCCAAAACGAGGAGAATGTCAGAAAAGTAGGAAGACTTTCTGCTTGAAATTGGCGGGTAAGGACTATTCTCGGCTTTTGTGCCTGGGAGGAAACGAGGTGTCACTACAAGAAAACACATCAATTCTGACAGCTATTCCGACGGAAAATGTATTCCTCGGAAAATTCCGAGGACATTCCGAGGAAACTCAAATTTAAGGTTTCCTCGGAATTTCCTCAGAATATACCGATGGAATTCCGAGGAAACTCGGTTCCTCGGAAAAAACTGACGAAATTCCGGGGAAATTCTGAGGAAACCCAAATTTTGGATTTCGTCGGAATTTCCACGGAATATCTCGACGGAATTCCGAGGAAACCCGGTTCCTCGGAAAAAACCGACGAAAATCCAAGGATTTATTATAGCCGTTGGGGGATTTTAAAAATTCCGAGGAACTAGCCGTTTCCGTCGGAATTTCCTCAGAATTGTCGGCAGATTTCATCTATAAATACAACCACCCTCATCCTCTTCATTCACTCCATATCTTCATCCTCTCACATACTATTTTACACACGAATTTGATTGAAAAAAACATGTCTTCTTCTAATTATTTTCGTTCTTGGATCGATCGACCTCATTTGGATCCTAACACGAGATTGCTAACGGAAGAGTAACAAAGAGGTTTAGGCGAATTCATGGCGTTAGTTCAACGACAACCGGAAGCAAAAACGGGTATGTTAAGATGTCCTTGCTCTACTTGTAAAAATAAAAAGGTTATAAAAGAGTTAGATGTTTGGACTCATCTATATTTGAGAGGGTTTACACGAAGTTACAAATTTTGGTATCATCATGGAGAAACTGATTATGAATATGGTTATACTAGCGAACCTCAGCCTGCGGTTAGGTTAGAAGAACGGATTAGAACGGATGTAGATTATGGTGTAGGTACTGAGCAGATGGTAAATGATCATTTTAGAGGGGAAGATTTACCCAATGCAGAAGCTAGGAGATTTTTTGATATGTTGGATGCAGGAAAGCAACCTTTGTACGAAGGTTGCAGAGATGGTCATTCAGCTNTAGAAGAACGGATTAGAACGGATGTAGATTATGGTGTAGGTACTGAGCAGATGGTAAATGATCATTTTAGAGGGGAAGATTTACCCAATGCAGAAGCTAGGAGATTTTTTGATATGTTGGATGCAGGAAAGCAACCTTTGTACGAAGGTTGCAGAGATGGTCATTCAGCTTTATCATCTGCAACAAGACTGATGGGCATAAAAACAGATTATAATTTGGCTGAAGACTGTATGGATGCGATTGCTAATTTTGTAAAAGGTATTCTACCTGAGGATAATGTATCCCCTGGTTCATACTACGAGGTTCAGAAACTGGTAGCTGGTCTTGGTTTATCGTATCAAGTAATAGATGTATGCAGCGATAATTGCATGATTTATTGGAGGGCGGATGAGCAGCGGGTTACATGCAAATTTTGTGGGAAATCTCGTTATAAAGATACGAGTGGAAGAGTTCCAGTGCCATACAAAAGGATGTGGTATTTGCCTTTGACGGAAAGGTTGCAGAGGTTGTATCAGTCTGAACGCACAGCGCAACCAATGAGATGGCATGCAGAGCATTCAACAGATGGTGAGATTAGACATCCTTCAGATTCAAAAGCTTGGAAGCATTTCCAATCAACATATCCAGATTTTGCGTATGAGAGAAGAAATGTCTACCTTGGATTATGTACGGATGGTTTCAGCCCATTTGGCAAGCATGGGAGACAATATTCTCTATGGCCAGTCATTCTTACACCATACAACTTACCGCCAAACCTGTGCTTGCGTCGAGAGTTTTTGTTTCTATCCATTCTCGTTCCTGGGCCAGAGCATCCTAGGAGATCACTTGATGTGTTTCTTCAGCCACTAATATATGAGTTGCAGCAACTATGGGCTCAAGGTGCTGAAACATACGATGTTTCGTGTAAGGAAAACTTTCAAATGAGGGCAGTACTTATGTGGGCAATAAGTAATTTTCCAGCATATGGTATGTTATCTGGATGGACAACGCATGGAAGGCTATCATGTCCATATTTTCAAGATAACACTGATGCTTTCCAATTAAAACACGGAAGGAAAACATGTTGGTTTGACTGTGACATGAGATTCCTACCACCTGACCATCCATATCGTAGGAGTAGAAATTTGTTTACGAAGAACAAGAGGGTGTTTGACAGTCCACCTCCGGAAATTTGTGGGGCAGATTTGTTGACACAGCTAAGGGATTTTGGTGCAGAAAGGACGCCAGACGTCGGTGGACATATGCATTATCCGGTAGATGATGTTGGAGAACTACATAACTGACACAAAAAGAGTATTTTCTGGGATCTGCCATATTGGAAGGATCATCTGCTGAGGCATAATCTAGATGTCATGCATATTGAGAAGAACTTTTTTGACAATCTCATGAACACGATCCTTAACGTTCAAGGTAAAACAAAAGATAATTTGAAGTCAAGATTGGATTTAGTCGATATATGTGCTCGTCCAGAACTTCATGTTGNAACGTTCAAGGTAAAACAAAAGATAATTTGAAGTCAAGATTGGATTTAGTCGATATATGTGCTCGTCCAGAACTTCATGTTGATGAGAATGGTAGGGCTCCTTTTCCTATATACCGACTGGATGCAGAGGCAAAGGATGCGTTCTTTGAGTGGATTTTAAAGGATGTGGAATTTCCAGACGGTTATGCATCAAATTTGCATAACTGTGTCGACATAAACGAAGGAAAGTTTATCGGCTTGAAGAGTCACGATTGCCATGTAATGATGCAACGCCTCCTTCCGTTTGCCTTCAAGGAACTATTACCACGGAATGTTTATGAAGCATTTGCAGGGATAAGTGCTTTCTTCCGCGATTTATGCACAAGATCAGTGACTCTGGAAGGTACTGAAAATTTGAAGACTAACATAGCTGTGATCCAGTGCAACCTTGCAAAGATATTTCCTCCATCATTTTTTCATGTGATGGAGCATCTTGTTATTCACCTGGCAAGAGAATTGGAACTTGGTGGTCCAGTGCAGTATAGATGGATGTATCTGTATGAGCGCTATATTCCATCTGAAGAAGATGGTGAAAAATTTAAGTAAGGTAGAAGGTTCTATAGTCGCACAGATGATCAATGAAGAAACTTCAAACTTTGCCGAGTACTACTTTCCAGCAGAAGTGCATACCAAAAACAGAAAACCTGCTCGGCATGATGATAGAGGCGAAAGAGCAACATATTATGTTACGGTTCCAGACATCTTCACAGATGTTGGGCGACTTAGCGGAAAACCAAAGGACCGTCGACTTACTGAGCAGGAGCACATTCATTTGCAAACATATTTGCTCACCAACTGCGAAGATGTTCTTCAATATGAGAGGTAAATAAATTTACAACTTTTTATTTTAGCAAGTTGAAATTTAAATCTTAATTAATTAATTACGTTATTGTATATGTACAGGATTTATA